TGTGTGCTTGTGTGCATGTGTTTGTATGTGTGTGTGGTGTGTGTGTGTCATGTGTGTGTGACGTGTGTGATGTGTGTTTGTTTGTGTTTTTCCAAGCTTTCCTCAAGGAGGCAATGTTTGAGAATATTCTTACCCCAGCTAAAACGGCAACCTATTTGGATTGAATGTTAATATACAAGTCAGCTGCTTGTAAATGCTACTTGCTTGAAAAGACTGCAGAAGAAAACGGCTATATTGCTGAAGATCAGCTGTTGCCAACTGCACCAGAGGGCAACTGAAAGATAGCAGAGAAGAATTGAATTCCTTAACAATGTGAACATTTACCTAGATCTTTTGTATCCTTGGAATCTCCAAGAGCCTTCATTAGTTTATCTACAGGCCCTTCCTGATGGATACTTAGGGTTCCTACCTCCACAGATAAGTGAATCAACAAATGCCTGCCTCTTCTGAAGGCAAACTCAACCCCCTGGGTCTCTGTCTCTGTGAATGCTGTCTCATGCCCATGAGCCATGCAGCCAGTATACGTGAACAGGCACCATAGAAAGGATTACCAGTGCCTTGATTCCCCCTATCTGGCAATCTGGTAAAATATGTCTTCACAGCTAAGGAGGAATGATTTTCACTGAGGATTGGGAAAAATGGTCCTGGCCCTCTAGACTGCCTTCCTGAGGCCAAAGGGAGAATGCTTCGGAAGGCCATTCAGGTAATTAAGGAGCCAGCGCCTCCATTCCACCCCCCCCCCCCCGTTATTCAGCCTAGTACCCAGTTTTTCACTTAAGATGGCCACAGGTCACGTGATTCTTGCTCATCTCCCACTCACCAGCTCAGTGCAGACCTTTCCAGAAAGAACAGCTAGCGTCAGGGTTAAGGTAATCTCCCTATGTAGCTACCTACCCTCCTTTTCTGGAAATCTCAGAAAGAATATCTGCAGGGAGGGGCTAGATCCATCTCCGAGATTTTTTTTTTCCCTTGTCCAAGTCACTATCATCCTATTTTATTTATTTAAATAAATCCCCACCCCTTGGTCTTTTTTCAAAGTTTCACTGTAGACTTTATCATTGCACCATTTCATGGTGCCAGTTTGACCCCCAAAGCCCTGCATTCTGCGTTCTACAAGTGTGCCATCAAACAGCAGCAGGATTCTCACGACGTGTCCCTGCCAAGCAGCTGGATAGGCTGCCCTTATTGGCATGTTACATTATCTGCTTGTGCCTCTACCTGTGTGTTTTTCTTTGGGGAAAGCTAAAGTGAGGCATACGTTTAAGTCTTGTTGTGATTTTCACCGTTTTAGACTATGGGGACCTGAGACAGGGAGAAAAACGGGCACACTGGAGGTAAACATTGCAAACCTCCCTTGCTCTCTGGTGTGGACTGGTGCCAGAGACCCCTTCATTCATTTTTTCCCCCAGATAAATGCAAGGAATTGCTGTAGACCGGTAGAGATGAAAGTTGGGGTTCACATGCTCTGCTCCCAAAACCCAACTCGTGTTTTTTTTCACATTTGCTAAACCAGGACTGCAGTACTATTCCAACTGGTCCTCGCTCGGGATGACAGTTGCCCGCTTGTGACGCCGCGCGTCACTGTATCACTGTGCTTGCACCTACCTGCTGGGAAATCCTGCAGACAGACAGGATGGTGGCTCCAACGCAGGCTCTCCCCCTCCTCCCAGCGAATCTTGCCCTTCCCCTGCAGTGCGCGTGGGCGCCGCCCTTCCCCTCACCTCTGCCTGGAGTACCAGTGCCCAGCAGTGGACAGGCACCTCCCTGGAATGTCTTCAGCTGCATCTCAGCTGATGTGCCCCCTCCTCCTCAGTGGCAGGGAGGGGGCCAAGCAGGCAGAGGCTCCGCAGTTTGGGCCTCTGCGGCAATGACTATGGCAGAGGTGTGTCCCATCGCCCTCCCCCCTCATGTCTTCCACTCCAGTACCCCGAGCCAGCCCCAAATACTTCAGGTAGCTTGCGTTCCCCAGGGTTGTCTTTGAATGCCTTTTTAAGATACAGGTGCCCACTGCCCTGTCACTTCCTCCTATGGGGGAAACTGCTCCGACTCCCACTTCTGTTATCACCTCTTTTCCTAACCCCAAGCAGCCTACTCTCTTTTCCCACATGTTGCTTCCCGCCTCTCAACCACTTCCCGCTTCCTCGCCACTTCCCCGCTTCCCCAGCTCTCGCATTCCCACATCTTTCTAGCCAGTGAATGGTAGCCAAATGGATTCAAGGGATACCCGGAGTCTAGCAAACTCCATAATCAACCGACCTAGCCTTGACGCCCCCCCCCCCCGGGGCTTTTTTCTTACCTTTACTCTGGACCATGTTGGTGGCGGTTTGGGCGACGGCAATGGCAAGAGCACTGGAGATGTTCTTCCACTTTGCTCTCCAGGAACTACCTGCAACAGATGTAGTGCTGGACTCATCTTTAGACAGGACTCTGGAGTTGGCTCTGGGGCCCTCTCCATGGCAGGTTCTGGGGCTGGTTCTAGGGCCAGCCCTGTGTCAAGATCTGGGGTCGGCTCTCTAGACGGTTCTGAGGCCAACTCTAGGGTTAGATCTGGGGCAGGTTCTGGGTCCGGCTCCGGGGCCGGCTCTGGGACAAGTTCTGGGTCCGGCTCTGGGTCCGGCTCTGAGTCTGGTTCGGGGTCCGGCTCCGGGGCCGGCTCTGAGTCTGGTTCGGGGGCCGGCTCCGGGGCCGGCTCTAGGGTTGATTTTGCGTCTGTTTCTGTGGCTGGTTCTGGAGTCGCTTCTGGACAGGGTCCCAGAGCAGGCTCTGGTACTGGTGCTGAAGAAAGCTCGGGGAATGGTGGAGGAGCAGGAGGCGGTGGGGCCGGCGGCGGTGGGGCCGGAGGGGGTGGGGCCGGCGGCGGTGGGGCCGGAGGCGGTGGGGCCGGCGGCGGAGCGGGAGGCGGCGGCGGCGGCTCTGGGGACTCAGCAGGCTGCTCTCCATCCTGAGGCTGGGCAGTGCCCTGGGCCACTGAATCTACACCGTCCATTGCAGCACACCGTCTGAGGTCCAGGCAGCCGGGGTCCCTAAGCTTAGAGGGCTAAAGAGCCCTTGGGCGGTCCACCCACTCCTATCTGACATCCCTTTGCAGGGTGCCAAACTTTGCACCCGCTTCGCTCCATGGCTAGCGCAGCTCTGAGGTCTAACCCAGGGGCGCGCAGCGTCTCGCAGAGCTGGGACACGCCCCTTGGTGAGCGCACACCTCTTCGTAAGCAGCTACGGGTTTGATGGGCGGGAAACAGTAAGGCTTGAGAACGCGACTGGGCAGAGCGCTTGATGACCTCTTAGCGACGTGCGCAGGAAAGGGGGGGGG